ATGCAGGACAGGGGTGTGGACACCTGCCTCATCAGCCTGGACTGAGAGAAGGCCTTTGACAGGATATCATACACATACATGTGGGATATGCTCTCTAAAATGGGCTTTGGGGAGGGAATCTGCAATTGGATCTGACTGCTCTACACCAATGTCGTTAACACAGTCTCAGGCAATGGGTGGGAATCAGAAAACTTCCCGATCAGATCTGGAGTCATGTAGGGCTACCCACTCTCTCCTGCCTTGTTTGTGTGTTGTATAGAGCTTATTCCAGGCAGCAGAGACCAGCAAGTCAAAGCCTCCCTGCACATGGATGATGTTGTCATTTTCTGCTCGGATCCGCTGTCAGTGCACAGATTCAATGAGCATCTGCAACCAGTTCAAACTGGCCTCGGGAGCCAAGGTAAATTGAGGCAAAAGCAAAGCCATGTTCTTTGGGAGGCTGGGCCATCCGATCCTCATTCTCTTCACTGTCAGGAAGGTGCTGGGATTATGGTTTGGAGGGGGAGGGGCCAGGACAAGCACAAAATCTTGGGAGGAATGAATTGCCAAAGTGAAGCAGAAACTTGTTTTTTGGGAGCACTGCTCCCTCTCCATTGCGGGTAAAAACCTGGTCACCAGGTGTGAGACACTCTCTCTGTTACTGTACATGCCGTAGGTCTGGCCCATTCCCTGAAACTGTGCTGCTTCAGTCACCCGAGCCAGCTTCCATTTCATCTGGAAGCCCAAGATAAACCAGGTCTGCAGGAACTCCACGTTAAAAAAACTCTGGATACAGGGGTGGGGGTTGGCGGGTGGGAAGACAGCACCCAATCTTACCCTCATCCTGATGGCCACCTTTGTCCATGGCTACATCAAGCTGTGCGTAGTCCCTTTGTACGCAAACACCAAGTATCACTACGTACTGAGGTTCTACCTGTCTGTGGAGTTACGAAGGATGGAACTGGCCTTGCAGCCGTTGGACTGTTCCGTATCACCTATCCTTCATCGAGAAATTTGCAAAGAAAAACGTCTTTCACCACCAGTCCATCAGGAAGTGGTCAGCACGCAGCATCCTTGAGACCCTGAGGGAAAAAGGAGAGGGTGGAATCCTTCATGTGGTTCCCTGAGCAGACTATCAAAGTCATTTGACAGAATACCTCATCACCAGAACTTTCTAATAAGCACCAAGACATTGCTTGGCTGGTGGTGAGAACGGCACTACCTGTGAGATCCTTTACGTATGCCCAGTCAGTCTGCACTATCACACACTGCCTTCCAAGTGCCCGCGGGGGCATGTCATTGAGACTGGAATGTGCCTTTACAAGAGAAGTCTGGAGTAAGATGCAGTGGTGTATGTCGAGGTACGTCCCCAAAAGCTCCGAGACCTTTGGGTCTGTTCTTTGGGATGCACAGCGAGACAAACATCAGCTGCGCCTGGAGGACCATCAACTTGGTTAAAGACGGTCTTTGGTCTACCCCAAACTTGTCGGTCTTACAGAACAAGAAGTTGCCCCCGACTGAGTGTTGCAGACTTGGCACATTCCAAGATCCAGGACAAGCTGACGGATGCACTGAAGATTGGGGCATTTGCCATCAAGCGCAGTGGGAAAAGACAATTGTCTTCGGTCTTCTTGCTGAAAGTAAATGGGGGCTCCATCCAGTTATAGGACCCTCCCAATGCCACCGATATATGTAAAAATTATTGTACATGTAAGAGAGGTCTCTGGTGTTGTGGATAGAGTCAAAGTTCAACGTTTTGTTTATTTACTTGACATGCATCTATACAGAACCAAATTCCTTTTTGTGACAATGTATATATTCAAAGAGATTTCTTTAAGATTAAGGTATACTTTTGAAATTAAAATAAAGCATTCTGGGAGTGGACTTCACAGTCAGTGTAGGCATGAAGGATATCATGGAAGACCATCCCTGGTGATAAGGAGGAGGAACAGCATCTAACCAGAGGGTGCTGAGACATTGCTGGTTTGCATTCTGGGAGTGAACTTTGCAGTCAAAACAGGTATGAAGGGTATTATGGAAGAACCCACTGTTGAGGAACGGTCAGGCCCAAAATTACATTAATGTAGTGTTTTAATCCTTACATCCTGCTCTACACCAAAAAAAGGGGAGAGGCAAGGTTCAGAGGAGACAGAACACACCGAGAAGATTGGCACCAAGAGTTCAAGTGGGTAAAGGAGCGAGAGCCTAAATAGCTTCTGGACACTGTTGTCAGAGAATACAGCAGGATATAGATCAATTGGAGGCATGGGCAGAAAAACAGCAGATGGAATTTAATCCAGACAAATGTGAAGCGAAGCATTTTGGAAGGTCAAGTACAGGTGGAAATTATACAGTGAATAGCAGAACCTTTAGGAGTATTAACATGTAGTGGGATCTGGGTGTACAGGTCTACCAATCGCTGAAGGTGGTGGTGCAAGTAGAATGGCATGCTTGCCTTCATTGGAAGGGGCATTGAGTTTAAGGATTGGCAAGTTATGCTGCAAGTTAGGTCACACTTGGAATATTGTGTACAGCTCTGGTCAGAACACTACAGGAAGGATGTGGCTGCTTATGAGAGGGTACAGAAAAGATTTACCAGGATGTTGCATGATAATGGGGGATTTTAGCTATGAAGAAAACTTGAATAGACTGGGTTTATTTTCACTGGAACACAGGAGGTTGAGGGGCGACTTGATATAAGTTTATAAGATTGTGAATGGCATGGATAGAGTGGAAAGTATGAGGCTTTTTCTGAAGGTGGAGGGTCAATTACTAGGGGTCACAGGTTCTAGGTGCCAGGTCAGGGGGAGTTTAAGAGATTTGCGAGGCAGTTTTTTCACACAAAGGGTGGTGAGTGCCTGGAATGCATTGCCAGAGGTGGTGGAAGCAGACACAATAGCAGCATTCAAGAAACATCTGGACGAATACATGAATCGGAAGGGAATAGAGGGATACGGATCCTGCTAGTGAAGACAGGAAGAGCAAAATGTGTCAGCGCAGGCTTGGAGGCTCGAAGCTGTACTGTTCTTTGTTTAATTTAGCAGGTTTTTGTCCGCAGCATAAATTGAGATTTGAAATTTGGCATTTTTGCATTTGCCCTGATGAGTGCATAATGAAAATATCAGGAACATGCCTCTCTTCAGCAACATTCATGTCCTGTACTACCAAGTAATTAGTTTGCAAAATTAGGACTCAAGGAATTGAGCTTAAAATATTAACAGAGATTGAAGATTACCTCATAGAGTGAGATCAAAGATTTTGGATTTAGCGTCCTGTAACTAACAGAATACTCAATGAGGAGTGCTCGGATCTTAGCTGTGTGTAAAATCTTTGTTGATGAAGGAACAGCGTGTACAGCATGCAAGTCTGCTCATTATACAAATTTGTTGAAAAATGAACAGTTAAGCGGATTCAAAAAGGCTGTCTACAGAGAGACAACAAGGTGCAGGGCTG